GTCGGTGCATTCCCTGATACATTAATTTGCTCCCACTGATTGACTTTGTCTCTTAAACAGTTACCTCTGTTGAATTTTGGAGAACAGTGCTTAACTAATATGCAGCAAGAAGAGTGCTGGTGGCAAAATACTCTATGTTCTCCTTTATTTCCAGGTTCTCAGTGCGGAGGTAAGAAGAGTACACTATTTAACAGTTATAGATACTGGGGAAGTAAGTTGTACACTGCTTTGATAAACCCATTGATCTATCAATAGTGAATAGTCATGATGAATCTTACTGTCAAATTATAGACACACACAAACTCCCTTTTTCTATTCAATGTAGTAAGTTTGTTCAACACTAAATGTTGTACCCTCCTTTGCTTATAGGAAGCAGTAATGTATGATTCTTCTGCTGAGCGTGGAGGTATACCAATGCTGATTTCCTCCTATCACTTTCAACCAAAACGCAGAGGAGGGATAGGAGGACCCTTACAAGAACAGTGAGCCCAGGGCCTGCAGTGGGCTCTTTCTTAACCACACTGTTCTAAGCCCTGTTATTCCTCAGCCATTTCATCTAAAACGGCGTATCATCAAGATGAAAACATAACGAGAGGAAAACATGGCAATAGGTTGAACGTACAGTTAGATGATTCTGGTCAACAGCATTTATTATAGACTTGTTTTCAGTCTGTTAATTCCAAGGTTGATCAATTTTGAAAAGAATAAAAAAGGCATAGTTAAGTATTAAGATTGTTCTTTAATTTACCCCTTATAGATTTTAGCTTCACTTTTATGTTTGATCTAGGATGCACTATAACTGTGGTCCTACTGATTGTGCATGTGCTTGTGAACCTAGTCTCAGTCCTTCTAATAGTCTAAGTTTCTGTGACTGAACTATGAATACTCAGAAGTCAGGTTGAAAGCACTACGAATGCGACACCCCCTTCCCTAATCAGATCATTTAGCATTTTGTCTTATTTTTTCATTTTATATGAATTGTAGAGGATAGAGTTGTGTGAGGTTTGGTGTGTTGAAAGAAAAAGTGCTTTTGCCACCCCCACCCCCCACTTTTGTTCTGTTACATCAATTATTTGTTGATGTTCCACTTTAGTTCAGTGCTGCTTCGAAAACATCTTAAAGAAATAAAGCAGGGTAATATGTTGAAGGTGTAGTAATACAATAAGCAAACAAAAAAAAAAAACCGCTGTTTAAAACAGAAGTCTAAATGAAGAAATATATCCTTGTCCTTGAAATTGGAAGTTGCTTTCTTTGCTTAAGTTTCCCATTTAATTCAGCCATTGTGATAAATGTTTACAATTTGCTAGGTTATTTTGTCCCCTTTAGGTTAAATTAAAAAAAAAAAAAAAATGTAATACATTTGTCAGATGGCTTGATTTACGAAGTTGCCTTTCATAAAAGTTATTTTTGGAGAGAGTTGTGGTGTCAAAGGACAGTTTACATTTTCCTTCGTACAAGTATAGTAAGATATCTGAAAAAAAAAAACATGTAAAATATAAAAATATAAATGCTGCAGATAAAGGCTACAAGGGAATTAAAAAATTTTTGGGGGAAATAGGTCACTGAATCTTTTGACCCAACTATACAATTTCATTTGAGTTGTTTCTAAGTCTTTAAAAACTATTATACCTTACAGTTGATCATATATATGATCAATTGCAACATCATTTTATGTATTGTTTCTTTAAGTTTAGTTTAAGTTTTGTGCATTTCAGTGAAATTTCTTCCCCTTCTTTACCCAACAAAATTGTGACTACTGATTATCCATAATATGGCTTGATTGGTTTTTTTTTTGTTTTGTTTTACATGAAAAGAATTGAGTGTTTCCAGTAATGGCAGTCGATTGCTTGAAGGTTGATTAACTTCATGTACTTTTCCTTCTACTTGTTTCAGAAATATGTGGCTGTTTCATTGTGTGCTGATGTCATATGGCATGGGCAATGCCTAGTAAGATCTCAAATGAAGAGGGATATACAAAAGCAATATAGTATTTTGGCACACCATAACTCTACAACCTTACGATGCTGATGTTATTTTGTTAAAAAATACATAGGGTCTATTTGTGACATACGTTACTTTTATTTACTACACCCCCCACGCCCATGAATAAGGCCCAAATTACTTTTCCTATAAAGTTTGATAAGTCGCTTGCCTATATAATTTTTTGTGGCTGTTGAATGAGAGGTGGTAGGAGTATGGTGTTCATAATGCAAAATCCAATCCAACATAAATAATTTTTGCTCTAATACCATCTTATCCATTCATTTTCGTCTGCTTCTTGACCTTAATGGATGTCTAGCCTGCCATCTGCTAGCTTTAATCTAGCCTGAATGGGTATTTTCCCTCAGTTCATTCAGTTTTGTTGCAGATGTTAGCATGAGAAATAATACATGTATGCTACATCAGCAGAGTGTAAATTGTTAAGAAGTGTGAATTTACAAGTGAAATTTGGGAAAAGTTGCTTTTTTTGAGCACCCTCAATGCTTTGGTTTTCTTAGTTGAAAAATGTGTGCATTCTTTTTCTGTACCACTTCTGTGGGAAATTTGGTTTAAAGCATTATTGATAAATATTTTAAGGGGGGAATTTGAATGTGGTAATGAAATAGAAATGATATCGCCCCATTCAACAATGACCAACAGATACCTTTGAAAAACTTGTCCTTAATTGAGCACAAGGATTTAAAGTTTTTAAACTTTCTCTGGCATCAAATGTCCAATAAAAAAAAAAAAGAAGAAAAAAAGATAAAACAATAATTTAAATGTGCTTATTCCCCTTTACAAGTGAAAAAGTTTATTTTGTTGACTTGTTCTGAGATACGCTTTGGGGTAAATTGTGATCTTGACAGTATGATCTATAGAGTATTTTATGTATTGGTGCTAATGTTCATACACTACAGCAAAGACGTAATCTTCAAATGTGTGTAAGAAAAAGGGCCACACAGTCTTTCTGAAAGATTTGTGCTTATTTTAACAGAAACCGGTTGGGCCTTGTTCTTGAGACTAGCTCAAGACCTAGTTTGTTAAAGTGTGTAATCCAAGACTGTATGGAAAAGGCTGTAGACCATAACCTAGGAGAGATGATTTTGTATGACCCAGTTTGAAACGGCTTGTGTGTGTTTGTGTTTCACCACATTATTTCCTAATTGGGAGTTTGATTATTGTTTTACAAAGATCATAAATATCCAGTTCATTGAAATGTATAGTGGTAGAAACAGAGTGTGAAAGCGCAAAATTATTTTACTGTATGCTATAACTGGGTACAGCAGTGCGTATAGACACCTTTATTGGATTTGTATTTAGTTGACAAATAACATGTTGCAATTCAGTTTAATTTTTCCACTTTAAAATACTGACAGATTCCAAAATGCAATTACATATTGTTGGTATTACTTTCTCTAATCAATACCCAAATTAATATTTGTTCTGTCAAGCACCTTGAGTTAAATATTGCCGTCATCCAAAATTGTTACTTGTATTAGTTTGGTTTATGTTCATTAAGCAGCTTGTTTATGGTGGGTGGGTGACAGAGGACAAAAGCAATTTAGATTTAAGCATTTTGAGAAAATGCATACTATAGTACATGTGTGTGACAGTCAAATATAAAAGAACATCATAGACAGATTATTTACAGTTAAAGAAATTTGAAATGGTTCTTCTCTTAGTTTAAACAGACTCGTTTTAAAAATGGAAAAGAGTGACTTAATTTTTTGTATCTTTCATGTCTAACTGTGTGTGTGAGGTGATATGGTTGCTGGAGAAAGACCTGAGTACTCGTGTCTATGGGAGACTGAAAATTGCATTATTTGCATTTTTTCTAAGGTTTTGGTTTGGCAAGTACATTTGGAGAGGATGACTTTCAAGTTCTTAAAGGTTTAAGTTTTGCAATGTTGTATAACTTCTAAAGCAAAACTCATTCTTAATTTGAGCCTAGCCCTGTATTTTTCCTCTGAATACCTGATGAAAGTCACCAAACCCCAACACAAAGTTGGTTGCATTGTTCTAATGCTACATCAGAGTACATCGTTTTGTTTCATTGTGACGTTTCTAAACCTTTAATAAACATTAAAAAAAAAAACAGTCCTTGTTTATTTGTGACCGCAGGAGAGAGACTTTATGACATAGTACAATCACTTCCCAGATAGCTAAATTTTGAATAGGTATATATTCAATACACATTAAGCTTTGACACTGAGCCAACCTGCTATAACAGAATCAGACTGAGGGAAGTGCTTAATCTGTAAGTGAAACCCTGACCTTAACTTGTCACAGAAAATGACTACAAATACTGTAATTTGCTTTTTAAAGGATATTCTCAGTGTTTTCTCTCAGTGCTTAGAGTAGTCCTAATCAAATGTTATAGCCTACCATGTACCAGCCACAGTAAAATCCAGCTACAAATAGTTGCATGTTTCAAGTGCATTAAATCGGTACATGTCTCCTGGTAGTAGTGAAATTAATGGTTTAAAAAATAAATAAAAAGTTCTGTCAGTAGCATCAAATGCACACAACTGGGTGAACTCCTGGTAAGTAACTATTTGTATTTTAGATTTTAAAGTATGTAGACAGTGCAACTGATGAAATACTGCTATTTGCAGCCAGCGGTCAGGCGCGTTCATTGTAAAGCTGCAGTGAGGAGTGAGGGAGGTTCACGTTGATCAGCCTGATGCAGGTTTGGGGGGTTGTTTTAGTTACTATAGCAACAGTTTGTCTTCTGGTTACTGATCAAATACCGCCTACGGTTTCATCACTTGGATTTATTAAAACTAGCAATAAACCGTATCTACGCATTAAAACAAACTTCACACCCTCTGTACACGCGACACGACAAAACTATAATAAATCACCGAAGAGTACAATATGACACTGGGCAGCTGCGTAGACGGGAAGCGTTGTAGTTCGTTTTATCGCGTCGCTCAGTGTGTACAGTGTCTAGTACAGGGCACTGGAGGTCACTTCCTGATTTACTGACTGTCGGCAATACGTCCTAACACTTTCAAAACGCTCTGCCTCTATTTAAATGACAACGGTTTGCGTGCCTGAAAAGCGACGTTACCTACACAGGTGGAAGTAGCGATAGTTTTTGACTTTATTTGATGCAGACCAGCACTTCATTCAGTCGTAGCGCAGGTGGATTTATCGACTCGTATGTTTTCCTGGCACATTTATATCGGTGAGGATGTTTTAAAATGGCGGTGGCAGCGTCACAACAGGTAAGATACTTTTCATTAGCTTTTATCTCGCTGTTAGCGTTACTCGTGCGCAAATAGAGTTCGAGCCTTTTGCAGTCAGACACTTGCCGTAATGTAGAAGTTTAATGTCTCCTGAACCTAGCGAAGTGCACAAGCAAGGCGAAAAGTTTTGAGTGAAGTTTAGAGTTTAGGTGATAAATGAAATGCAGAAGTGCTTGTAAAAGCGGACAGTGTTATATTATAAGAGTAATAATATTAGTGTTTGATGTGTTGCTTATTGGAGGGTCTGGAGTAAAGGTGAGGAGGTGATGGACGCACGCACATCCTTCCACCTGCAGCAGGAACATGGCAGAAGCAGAGCACACGTCCTGTGAAAGCAACACAAACGGTCAAAGCATTGATGGTAAGTTCAAAGTAACTTTGTAGCCATAACCGCTACATCCTCCAAGCGGTTTGTTTAGGGCCCTGGATGTCAAAATTATTGCACATTAGCATCACTGGTTCTTGAGATATGGGGGGAACTATGCTTGAGTGTAATCAGATAAAGCTTCAGAAATGTATTGACAAATAGAAAAGTCTAGCATGCACTTCAATGATTGAAATGAGACTACAGGATAGTTTAAAAAAAACGTGTAATGTATAATTATTGTAAAAAAAATAAAATAATAATAAATCTTGCAATTTTGATAAATTAAACATATGTTGAACATCAGTGATTACAAGTGTATTAAATGCAGTGGGCATTTTGTGTTTATACAGTTGCTAGTTATGAATAGTAAAGTGCAACAGTGCTCGCCCACTTTTTCAGCATAGTTCCAGAAGTATTTTTCTCCTTGGGATTTTCCTGATTTACTGACTAGGAATCAAACAAAAGGTATGAACCAAACCAACCAGCTGGTGAATCACAACAATACACATTTTGATTTGAAGCAAAACAGTATTTGAAAAACAGACCAAGAGACAAAATGCACAAGACTGTATGTGTGAGTGCATGCGCGCATATATATACAGTGGGTACGGAAAGTATTCAGACCCCCTTAAATTTTTCACTCTTTGTTATATTGCAGCCATTTGCTAAAATCATTTAAGTTAATTTTTTTTCCTCATTAATGTACACACAGCACCCCATATTGACAGAAAAACACAGAATTGTTGACATCTTTGCAGATTTATTAAAAAAGAAAAACTGAAAAATGCTCAGTATTTAGTAGAAGCACCCTTTTGATCTAATACAGCCATGAGTCTTTTTAGGAAAGATGCAACAAGTTTTTCACACATGGATTTGGGGATCCTCTGCCATTCCTCCTTGCAAATCCTCTCCAGTTCTGTCAGGTTGGACGGTAAACGTTGGTGGACAGCCATTTTTAGGTCTCTCCAGAGATGCTCAACTGGGTTTAAGTCAGGGCTCTGGCTGGGCCATTCAAGAACAGTCACAGAGTTGTTGTGAAGCCACTCCTTCGTTATTTGTTGGCTATTGCTACAAATATACCCCAGCGACTTAAGACTGCTTTGTGTGTGCGCGCGCACATATATATATATATATATATATATATATATATTTATGTGTGTTTTGTTTCTTTGCAAAACATGCGTATTATGCATACAAATATTTAAGTCGTTTGAAACCTGACAGTCATTTGAAGTGCTTCAGGGGAGTGAGTGGGCGCTGAAATTGCAATTCTCTGATTAGTGGACATTTTTTGGCAGAATCATGCTTAATGTAGTTTTCCACCTGGTATTCTGCTGTTGAACACAATTATTTAAAAATATTAAATTGAAATATTATACCATTTATTAACAATCTTGTAGATTACAGTAGGTCTGTTTTTTAAAGGTTTATAAGTTGTCAATGGGATTTTTACTTCCAGGAACCTGACTGGTGCACTCTTTACCTAATTAAAATGGGAGATATTATGTTAAAATGTAATGATTAGATTAAGGGAATATAAATTTGAGAGATTTTAACCTTTTCCTTGTTTTGTCCTTGTTTGGAATGATTAACTTCAAGTAGTTTTTTTTCTTTTTTTTTTTTTTTTTCCATTTACTTTTCTTAGGAATTAACTGCAGGGCATGGAGACAAAAAATAAAATAAAAAATTACACCAACAACAGCAACATTAACAAAGGTTGCCACACATATTCTTTCAGTAATACATGACACCCATATTCATGTAAATTTTCAAATATAGACCATTATTCTACAGTGGAGAAGGCTAACCATTTCCTCCATT